AAAAAGAATCGTCGCTATTTCAAACAGGACGAGTTTCGTTTTCGACGAATTCCTTCCAAAGATCCTTTTCAAAGAATCCTTTCGTTTCCTCTTATTTGAAATAGGAGGGGAGGATTCCTCGGACGGTGCAGTCTAACCGCGACCTTGGAAGACACATAGTGTAGAATTTGGTGCACGCGATAGGAGGCGAGGAGCGGAAAGCCAGGTGCTCGTCGGAGCGTGTGCGGTTGATGGTAATGAACTTTCGCGGAGGCAAGGCCGCCTGGATGATTTCATAACGCGCGCGCAATCCTCTCGCTCGGCTGGTTAACCGTCCATTCCTCTCTGTCTCTCTCAGAGAGCGCGATTCGATCGTTCCTTCCCTTTTTCTCGGCTCGGACACCGCAACCGACTCTTCGCGGTATGTAATAGCATCGGGAGCGCGGTTCGACCGCGAACGAGAGGGAAAGAGAATCGTCCGGCTAATAAAAAGCTCGATTCAAAGAGCTCGAGGAGAGAAGATCGACTTACATAATGGTTGTTGCGCGCCTCCACCTGTGCGGTGGAGATGAATAAGAGGATCGACCTCGATTACCATTCTCTTCGTACGTATGAATTTTTCTTTCTTCTTCTTCTTCTTCTTCTTCTTCTTTTTTTTTCTTTCTCGCCGTTCGAGGCGAGATCGCGGTTATTGTGAGCGCGAGATAAGCAACAACCGAAAGATCGTTCGTTTGTCCTTGGTTAATTATGATGAAATTCCGTGGTAGAAGAAAGCTTAACCCTTAGGATGTCGAGCAACGTGGCTCATTATACAAACAGCTTTTAAAATGTTTTTTTTTTTTTTTCTTTAAAATAAAACTTTGCGATACTTTACGCAATATTTTATTGAGATCCTTTTTTTGTAGATGAATTGAGGAGTTGTTGTTAGGTGAAAAAAGAAGAAACTAAAGAGTGCAAAGAGAATTCGATTGATTTAAGAAATCGTTTCGAGATTTTACGATACAAACGTTGTCGCACGTTTGGATCGAAATCGTTCGAATGATGAATAATACGATGAATCCCGTTACTTTCTCTCGAATCCACTTAATTCGTCTCCGTTCGATGAAAAACACGGGGACGCAGAACCAGTCCACCTCTTTGATCTTCCAACTACACGAAAATCGTGTTCGGGAAGAAGAAACCGGTACTCTCCTGTCGAGTCTCGCCAAACGAACAAATCATTTATCGCGACGAGGCAAAAAAATTTCCTTCCTCTCGCACCTGTTGTTCCTTCGATCTCATCATCGAGTCATGGCGTGGAGACGATGTAACGGGTTCCCTGGCAAAACATCAGGGAAGGAACCAAGATGTTCTTGCGAATCAAGATAAGAAAAAAACCAAGTTGCCGTGAATTTCCTTGTTTACTGGTTCCCGGTGAATAAATACTTTAACGTTTACCAGAGGCCTAATAGATCCTGTTTATTTTTCACATCCGATCCTCTATCCTCTAATTATAATTTCACCGACTCTTTCGCCAGATTTTTACAATTTTTTTCTTTTTTTGTCTAAGATTTCTATCGAGAATTTCCATCCGATTTGTCGATTTATTTATTCGTATTAATTCTCAAAGTATTTTTTAGAGGCAACACTCGAGCAACATTCATTCGTGTTTTTAAAATTTCGGTCATTTTTAGATTTCTTCGATTTCTTCACACAATTTTAAGATAAAAGCAAGCGGATCATCGGCTATCGAAAATATTCGTTCTGGAATCAATACCAATTCAATTTGGTATTTTTACAATTTTTATCAAGAATCACGTCTAAAATTACGTTCCTTAATATTGACTTTTTCATCACTGGCAACTTTAAAATCGAATCTTACGACTCGATGCTCGGAACTTGCTGCGTTCGTTCAACGCTATTTTCAGAATTTCAATAATATCTAATCCCATAATACTCGATTTCTTTATATCTTAGTCAAACAATTTTAAGATAAAAGCAATCAAATTATAACATTACAATTTCAAAATTTCATTAAATTTCCCACAATTCTTCGCATTGTTGCTGAAAATCGAAGCGACCATGATAACAATTCATCATTCAAAACTTCGCTTTTATTCACTGGTGAAAAGAAATCTCGTGGAAGGAACGCGGATCTGATTGCTTAATCTAAAAAGAAACGCCTATTTACACACTCATTTATCACATACAATCCAAAACAACGATCTATATTTAAACCTCGATGCATCAGCAGTAGACAATAAAAATTTACATAACTACAATTTATAACTTCGTATTCAAATATTTAAGATAATAATTATACGTATACGAATAAACATTCTACAGATAGTTTCGAAAATATTTCAGCTTCCTAGATAACGATTATCCTAACAATATTCGTAAATGAAATTAATTTCTACGTTACATCTCTTCAACAAATCAAACCCAAGAAGTGAAGATAGATCCTGTCCCCTCTTCCTTTCCAATCGATCCTTCCTTCCACCGGCACTTTTCGTATCGAAAGAATCGGACAAGAGGTAAAGAGGAAGTAAAACGAGTTAAAAAAAAATAAAATAAACGCAGAAGATCGTAATCAGGCGCGAGAACGGCGACACCTCGGACGAAGCCCGCTTCGCGATAATTCAACGGCCGGGCCCGGCTCGCGCGAGACGATTCTCGTGCGCGCGCGCGTGCGTGTGCGTGTACGCGTAACACGTGGGGCCCCC